CCCCAAAACCCCAAAACCCCAAAACCCCAAAACCCCTAAACTTGCTAGTTAGATTGAAATATCAAGATCTTAGTAAGTCAAATCTACTCTTCAGGCATATCTTTGAGCAGCTCTCCATTCTTGAATTTTTCAACTAGACCAGCATCTTCTAAACGAGTTGTGCGCAGCTGGTTCCCAATGGAGAGCCATCCTGGTCTTATGTTGTTCATCCTAGCAAAGATCTCTATCCTTCTTCCTGTAGGGACTAGTCTCTCTATCATATGGTAGAGTCTATAATTTTGACTGATTCTTACTCATCTGGTTTTTGTGAAGTTTCTCTTACTTTTGCAACAATCACCTATTTAGTCAAAATTATCTAGATTACGTCTGTATCAAGTTTCTATGGTGTTATAAGGAATGCTTACTAATGGATATTTAGGCTTTCCTTTAAGCCCTACTAAACAATGCTCCTTGCTATGGTTGAGCCAATGACCTGTTCTACCAGTTCTGATGAGCTTGTTTAGTCTAAATTTGTAAAATTCCTTACTGATTTATTTTCACCCAGACTATTTCTTCAACTTTTCTATATCCCCATTTATTTGAGCAGCTCTCTTCCTTGCTCCATGACTCTTCCAGTGACCCATAGGAAGATGATCCCTTCTTCTTGGAGAGGCTCAATCTCGAGAGAAGCGAGGAGCTTGTCCCCAATGGTTTGGTAGGGAAGATTCATGTTGATATCCCAAGGTGGATCAATAAGGACGACATCAAATTTTCCAAGCTCTCTGAAGTTCAAACTATATTTTTATTGTCTTCACTTACTTTAGGACATCTCAGTTAATCCATTCAGCTCCACTATACTTCTTAGGCTCAAGAGCTAGGCTTTCATTCAGAGTGCAAGGACTTTGTGTATCGTAGTGAATGTATTTTCATTGACCCTTACCTTTGCATGTGTCTAAGTATGAGCAGTCACCAAGAGTTGGAATAGTCGAAGAAGTTACGGTCGGTCTGAAGTGAATCTTGTTTCACTGATTCATTGACGAATAGCACATTTTGAATGTCAGATTACTCACTTTTGAGTTAGATTCATGATATAAAAGATTCTTCCGATGCTCATCTCATTTCTCTCTTGTATCAAATTCACAGTACATAGGAAGCATCATTGTGGGTGTAACATGCATATAATCCCTACTAATCTGTGAATTTTCACCTGTTGTGAATTCGTTCACCCCTATCTCAATCTTCATCTTCCGCTCATACTCATCTTGCTTCTCCGCTTTCTCTACTAAATGATCTCTAAGACCATCCTCCCATTGCTTTAAGGTCTTCTTCTGCTCCCTAGTGGAGATCATCTTTGCATTCTTAGTAAGAACTGGGGCCTTAGTTATCTCAGGATGTTTATCCTCCTCATTTTCAAGTTTCACTAGAACTTTCACCAGTTAAAAGCTTACTTCGTTTATACTGCTGAATGAGCTCATTTCAGGTTTCTTCATCTGGCCTAAGGGGTTAGGGAAGGAAGCTTACTTGTAAAGATCTTGTTCTTCTTTAGGCCTCTTCATTTGGTAATTATTATGGATCTTAATTATGACTTCTTTAAAGGGGTTTTGGGGTTTTGGGGTTTTGGGGTTTTGGGG